TGAACAAACGTGAAACAATCTATACGGAAACTATAATTACTGGTTTGAGGTTTTGAGGATGTATATCATAGCCAAAGTGACAACCACAAAGACTCATCGGCCTCGATCGTGAGCTGAGGTTGATTTTCGCCCAAAAATGGATGACCAAATTTTGAGTAGTTTTAGACCTAGTTCGATGGAAAATGAACCAACGATAAAAACTTATCGTCTATGGCCATGACCTCGTGGTGATTTTTGCAAAAAAATGACTTTTAGGCCGAGCAAATACACTTTTTTAGTTTTTCTAGACAATGCGGGCATGCGAGCTTTCGAGTTCCCGGAAGGGTCGGTGTACACGAGTGTGAAACAATCTATAGAGAAAATGTAATTGCTAGTTTGAGGTTTTTGGGACCTACATCATAGCCAAAGTGACAAGCACAAAGACTCATCGGCCTCGACCGTGAGTCGAAGTTGATTTTCACCCAAAAATGGCCGACCAAGTTTAGAGTGGTTTTAGAGCCGGTTCAATGGCAAACGAGCCAAAGATAAAAACTCATTGCCTTAGGCCATGACCTGGGGGTGATTTTTGCAAAAAAAAATGACTTTTATGCCGAGAAAATACATTTTTTTAGTTTTTCGAGACAATGCGGGCATGCGAGCTTTCGAGTTCCTAGAACTCGTCGATATGAATGAGTGTTAAACAATTTATAGAGAAACCGTAATTACTAGTTTGAGGTTTTGGGGGCCTACATCATAGCCAAAGTGACAACCACGGAGACTCATCGGCCTCGACTGTGTGCTAAGGTTCATTTTCACCCAAAAATGGCCGACCATGTTTTGAGGAGTTTTAGACCCGGTTCGATGGCAAACGAACCAATGATAAAAACTCATCGCCTATGGCCATGACTCGGGGGTGATTTTTTTAAAAAAATGACTTTTAAGTTGAGAAAATACGCTTTTTTAGTTTTTCGAGACAATTTTAGCATGCGAGCTTTCGAGTTCCTAGGAGGGCCGATATAAACGAGCGTGAAACAATCTATACAGAAACTATAATTGCTGGTTTAAGGTTTTTGGGACCTACATCATAGCCAAAGTGACAACCACGGAGACTCATCGGCCTCGATCGTGAGCGGAGGTTGATTTTCAACCAAAAATAATCGACCAAGTTTTGAACAGTTTTAGACCCAGTTCGATGGAAAATGAGCCAATGATAAAAACTCATCGCCTATGGCCATGACCCAGGGGTATTTTTGCAAAAAAAATGACGTTTAGGTCAAAAAATACTCTTTTCTAGTTTTTCGAGACAATGCGGGCATGCGAGCTTTCGAGTTCCTAGAAGTGTCGATGTGAATGAGCGTGAAACAATCTATAGAGAAACCGTAATTACTGGTTTGTGGTTTTGGGGACCTACATCAATGCCAAAGTGACAACCACAGAGACTCATCGGCCTCGACCGTGAGCCGAGGTTGATTTTGGCCTAAAAATGGCCGACCATGTTTCGAGCGGCTTTAGACCCGAATCGAGGGCAAACGAGCCAACGACAAAAACTCATTGCCTATGGCCATGACCTAAGGGTGATTTTTGCAAAAAAATGACTTTTAGGTTGAGAAAATACGTTTTTTATAGTTTTTCGAGACAATGCCGCATGCGAGCTTTTGAGTTCCTAGAAAGGCCGGTATGAACGAGCGTGAAACAATCTATAGAGAAACTGTAATTGCTAGTTTGAGGTTTTTGGTACCTATATCATAGCCAATGTGACAACCACATAGACTCATCGGCCTCGACTTTAAGCCGAGGTTGATTTTTGCCAAAAAATGGTCGACCAAGTTTTAAATAGTTTTAAACCCAGCTCGATGGCAAACGAGCCAACGATAAAAACTCATCGCCTATGGCGATGAACTAGGGGTGATTTTTGCAAAAAAATTACCTTTAGGTCGAGAAAATACACTTTTTTAGTTTTTCTAGACAATGCGAGCTTTCGAGTTCCTTAAAGGGTTGGTGTGAACGAGTGTGAAACAATCTATAGAGAAAATGTAATTGCTAGTTTGAGGTTTTTGGGACCGACATCATAGCCAAAGTTACAACCACAAAGACTCATCGACCTCGACCGTGAGCCGAAGTTGATTTTCACCCAAAAATGCCCGACCAAGTTTAGAGTTGTTTTAGACCCGGTTCGATGGCAAACGAGCCAAAGATAATAACTCATGGCCTTAGGCCATGACTCGGGGGTGATTTTTGCAAAAAAATGACTTTTTGGTTGAGAAAATACGTTTTTTATAGTTTTTCGAGACAATGCCGGCATGCGAGCTTTCGAGTTCCTAGAAAGGTCGGTATGAACGAGCGTGAAAAAATCTATAGAGAAACCGTAATTGCTCGGTTTGAGGTTTTCGGGACCTATATCATAACCAATGTGACAACCATATAGACTTATCGACCTCGACTTTGAGATGAGGTTGATTTTTGCCAAAAAATGGTCGACCAAGTTTTAAATAGTTTTAGACCCAGTTCGATGGCAAATGAGCCAACGATAAAAACTCATCGCCTATGGCGATGAACTAGGTGTGATTTTTGCAAAAAAATGACTTTTAGGTAGAGAAAATACACTTTTTTAGTTTTTCTAGACAATGCGGGCATGCGAGCTTTCGAGTTCCTGGAAGGGTCGGTGTGAACGAGTGTGAAACAATCTATAGAGAAAATGTAATTGCTAGTTTGAGGTTTTTGGGACCGACATCATAGCCAAAGTGACAACCACAAAGACTCATCGGCCTCGACCGTGAGCCGAAGTTGATTTTCACCCAAAAATGCCCGACCAAGTTTAGAGTGGTTTTAGACCCAGCTCGATGGTGAACGAGCCAAACATAATAACTCATTGCCTTAGGCCATGACCCGGGGATGATTTTTTCAAAAAAAATGACTTTTATGCCGAGAAAATACACTTTTTTAGTTTTTCGAGACAATGCGGGCATGCGAGCTTTCGAGTTCCTCGAAGTGTCGGTGTGAACGAGTCTTAAACAATTTATAGAGAAACTGTAATTACCGGTTTGAGGTTTTGGGGACCTACATCATAGCCAAATTGACAACCGCGAGACTTATCGGCCTCGATTGTGAGCCGAGGTTCATTTTCGCCCAAAAATGGCCGACCATGTTTTGAGCAATTGTAGACCTAGTTCGATGGAAAACGAACCAATGATAAAAACTCACCACCTATGGCCATGACTCGGGTTGATTTTTGCAAAAAAATGACTTTTAAGTTGAGAAAATACATTTTTGCTAGTTTTTTCGGACAATGCTAGCATGCGAGCTTTCGAGTTCCTAGGAGGGTCGATTTGAACGAGTGTGAAACAATCTATAGAGAAACCGTAATTGCTAGTTTGAGGTTTTTGGGACCTACATCATAGCCAAAGTGACAACCACGGAGACTCATCGGCCTCGACTGTGAGCGGAGGTTGATTTTCGACCAAAAATAGTCGACCAAGTTTTGAACAAGCTTTAGACCCGGTTCGATGGCAAATGAGCCAATGATAAAAACTCATCGCCTATGGCCATGACTCGGGGGTGATTTTTGCAAAAAAATGACGTTTAGGTCAAAAAAATACGCTTTTCTAGTTTTTCGAGACAATGCGGGCATGCGAGCTTTCGATTCCCGGAAGGGCCGATGTGAACGAGCGTCAAATAGTTTGTAGAGAAACTATAATTGCTGATTTGAGGTATTTGAGACCTACATCATAGCCAAAGTGACAACCATAGAGACTCATCGGCCTCGACTATGATCCGAGGGTGATTTTCGCCCAAAAATGACCGATCAAGTTTTGAACAGCTTTTAGACTCGGCTAGATGGCAAACGACCTAGCGATAAAAACTCATCGCCTATGGCCATGAACTAAGGGTGATTTTTTTTTTAAAAAAATGACTTTTAGGCCGAGAAAATACACTTTTTTAGTTTTACGAAACAATACGGGCATGCGAGCTTTCGAGTTCCCGGAACCGTCGGTGTGAACAAGCGTGAATAAATCTATAGAGAAACCGTAATTACCGGTTTGAGGTTTTGGGGACTTAGATCATTGCCAAAGTGACAACCACGGAGACTCATCGGCCTCGACTATGAGTCGAGGTTGATTTTTGGCCAAAAATGGACGATAAAGTTTTGAGCAGCTTTAGACCCGGATAGATGGCAAACGAACCAACGATATAAACTTATCGCCTATGGCAATGACTCGGGGATGATTTTTGCAAAAAAAAGACTTTTAGGCCGAGAAAATACACTTTTTTAGTTTTTCGAGACAATGCGGACATGCGAGCTTTCGAGTTACTAGAAGGGTCGGTGTGAACGAGCGTGAAACAATCTATAGAGAAACCGTAATTGCTTGTTTGAGGTTTTTATGACCTACATCATAGCCAAAGTGACAAACAAAAAGACTCATCGGCCTCGACCGTGAGCCGAGGTTGATTTTCGCCCAAAAATGGCCGACCAAGTTTTGAACAGCTTTAGACCTAGTTTGATGGCAAACGAGCCAACGATCAAAACTCATTGCCTATGGCCATGAACTAGGGGTGATTTTTGGAAAAAAAATGACTTTTAGGCCGAGAAAATACACTTTTTTAGTTTTTCGAGACAATGCGGGCATGCGAGCTTCCGAGTTCTTGAAAGTGTCGGTGGGAACCAGCGTGAAACAATCTATAGAGAAACTATAATTACTGGTTTGAGGTTTTGGGGACCTACATCATAGCCAAAGTGACAACCACGAGACTCATCGGCCTCGACGGTGAGCCGAGGTTGATTTGCGCCCAAAAATGGCCAACCATGTTTTGAGCGAGTTTTAGACCCAGTCGATGGCAAACGAACCAACGATAAAAACTCATCGCCTATGGCCATGACCTCGGGGTGATTTTTGAAAAAAACGACTCTTAGGTCGAGAAAATACAATCTTTTAGTTTTTCGAGACAATGCCGGCATGCGAGCTTTCGAGTTCCTAGATGGGTCGGTATGAACGAGCGTTAAACAATCTATAGAGAAATTGTAATTACCGGTTTGAGGTTTTGGGGACCTACATCATTGCCAAAGTGACAACCACAGAGACTCATCGGCCTCGACCGTGAGCCGAGGTTGACTTTTAGCCAAAAATGGACGATTATGTTTTGAGCGAGTTTTAGACCCGGATCTATTGCAAACGAACCAACGATAAAAACTTATCACCTACGAGCATGACTTGGGGGTATTTTTGCAAGAAAATGACTTTCGTGTCGAGAAAATACACTTTTTTAGCTTTTTGAGACGACGTGGGCATGCGAGCTTTCGAGTTCTCGGAAGGGTCGGTGTGAACGAGTATGAAACAATTTATAGAGAAACTCGTAATTACTTGTTTGAGGTTTTGAGGACCTAGATCATAGCCAAAGTGACAACCACGAGAGATTCATCGGTCTCGACTCGTGAGTCGAGGTTGATTTTTTTCCAAAAATGACCGACTAAGTTTTGGTTAGTTTTAGACCCAATTCGATGGAAAAAAACCAACCATAAAAACTCATCGGCTATGGCCATGACCCGGGGGTATTTTTGAAAAAAAATGACTTTTAGGTCGAGAAAATACACTTTTTCTAGTTTTTCGAGACAATGCTAGCATGCGAGCTTTCGAGTTCCTAGAAGGATCGGTATGAATGAGCATGAAATAATCTATAGAGAAACTATAATTTCTAGTTTCGGGTTTTTAGGACCTACATCATAGGCAAAGTGACAACCACATAGGCTCATCGGCCTCGACTTTGAGTTGAGGTCGATTTTCGCCAAAAAATGGTCGACCAAGTTTTAAATAGTTTTAGACCCGAGTTCGATGGAAAACGAGCCAATGATAAAAACTCATCACCTATGACCATGAACTAAGGGTAATTACCGGTTTGAGGTTTTGAGGACCTACATCATATCCAAAGTGACAACCACGGATACTCATCGGCCTCGATTGTGCGCCGAGGTTGATTTTCGCCCAAAAATGACCGACCAAGTTTTGAGCAGCTTGAGACCCGGTTCGATGGCAAACAACCAACGATAGAAACTTATCGCCTATGGCCATGACTTGGAGGTGATTTTTGCAAGAAAATGACTTTCGAGCCGAAAAAATACACTTTTTAGCTTTTCGAGACAACATGTGCATGCGAGCTTTCGAGTTCCCGGAAGGGTCGGTGTGAACAAGCGTGAAACAATTCATAGAGAAACCGTAATTACTTATTTAAAGTTTTGAGGACCTACATCATAGCCAAAGTGACAACCACAGAGACTCATCGGCCTCGACCGTGAGCCGAGGTTCATTTTCGTCAAAAAATGGCCGACCATGTTTTGTGCAGTTTGAGACCTAGTTCGATGGTAAACGAACCAATGATAAAAACTTATCGCCTATGGCCATTACCCGGGGGTGATTTTTGCAAGAAAATGACTTTCGAGCCGAGAAAATACACTTTTTTAGTTTTTTTAGACAATGCGGCATGCAAGCTTTCGAGTTCCCGGAAGGGTCTGTATGAACGAGCGTGAAACAATTTATAGAGAAACTATAATTACTTGTTTGAGGTTTTGAGGACCTACATAGCCAAAGTGACAACCATAGAGACTCATCGGCCTCGACCGTGAGCCGAGGTTCATTTTCGCCCAAAAATGGCCGACCATATTTTGAGCAGCTTTAGACCCAGCTTCGATGGCAAACGTAGCAACGATAAAAACTCATCACCTATGGCCATGACTCGGGGGTATTTTTGTAAAAAAATGACTTTTAGGTCGACAAAATACGCTTTTTCTAGTTTTTCGAGACAATGCCGGCATGCGAGCTTTCGAGTTCCTAGAAGGGCTCGGTATGAACGAGCGTGAAACAATCTATAGAGAAATTGTAATTTATGGTTTGAGGTTTTTAGGACCTACATCATAGCCAAAGTGACAACCATAGAGATTCATCGGCCTCGACTGTGAGCCGAGGTTGATTTTTGTCCAAAAATGGTCGACCAAGTTTTGAGCGAGTTTTAGACCCGATTCGATGGCAAAGGAAGCCAACGATAAAAACTTATCACCTATGGCCATGACTCGGGGGTATTTTTGCAAAAAAGTAACTTTTAGGTCGAGAAAATACACTCTTTCTAGCTTTTCGAGACAATGCGGGATGCGAGGTTTCGAGTTCCTAGAAGGGTCGGTGTGAACGAGCGTGAAACAATCTATAGAGAAACTGTAATTACTTGATTTGAGGTTTTTAGGACCTACATCATAGCCAAAGTGACAACCATATGAGACTCATCGGCCTCGACTGTGAGCCGAGGTTGATTTTCGCACAAAAATGGCCAACCAAGTTTTGAGTAGTTTTAGACTCTAGTTCGATGAGAAACGAGCCAACGATAAAAACTTATCGCATTTGGCCTTGAACTCAGGGGTATTTTTGCAAAAAAAATGACTTTTAGGCCGAGAAAATATACATTTTTAGTTTTTCGAGACAATGCGAGCATGCGAGCTTTCGAGTTCCCGGAAGTGTCGGTGTGAACGAGCATGAAACAATCTATAGAGAAACTATAATTACAGGTTTGAGGTTTTGAGGACCTACATTATAGCCAAAGTGACAACCATCAGAGACTCATCGGCCTCGATCGTGTGCCGAGGTTGATTTTCGCCCAAAAATGACCGACCAAGTTTTGAGCGAGTTATAGACCCAGTTCGATGGCAAACGAACCAACGATAAAAACTCATCGCCTATGGCCATGACTCGGGGGTGATTTTTGCAAGAAAGCGACTTTTAGGCTGAGAAAATACACTTTGTCTAGTTTTTCGAGACAATGCTGGCATACGAGGTTTCGAGTTCCTGGAAGGGTCGGTGTGAACGAGCGTGAAACAATGTATACGAAAACCGTAATTACTTAGTTTGAGGTTTTGAGGACCTACATCATAGCCAAAGTGACAACCACAGAGATTCATCGGCCTCGACTTTGAGCCGAGGTTGATTTTCATCACAAAAATGGCCGACTAAGTTTTGAGTAGTTTTAGACCTAGTTCGATGGAAAACGAGCCAATGATAAAAACTCATCGCATTTGGCCTTGACTCGGGGGTATTTTTGTAAAAAATATGACTTTTAGGTCGAGAAAATACACATTTTCTAGTTTTTCGAGACAATGTGGGCATGCGAGCTTTCGAGTTCCTCGAAGGGTCGGTGTGAACGACCATGAAACAATCTATAGAGAAACCGTCATTGCTCGGTTTGAGGTTTTTGGGATCGACATCATAGCCAAAGTGACAACCATAGAGACTCATCGGCCTCGACTGTGAGCCGAGGTTGATTTTCGCAAAAAAATGGTCGATCAAGTTTTGAGTAGTTTTAGACTCAGCTCGATGGCAAACGAGCCAATGATAAAAACTCATCACATTTGGCCTTGACACTGGGGGTATTTTTTAAAAAATATGACTTTTAGGCCGAGAAAATACACATTTTTAGTTTTTCGAGACAATGCGGGCATGCGAGCTTTCGAGTTCTTGGAAGTGTCGGTGTGAACGAGCGCGAAACAATCTATAGAGAAACTATAATTACTTGTTTGACGTTTTGAGGACCTACATCATAGCCAAAGTGACAACAATATAGACTCATCGGCCTCGACCGTGAGCCGAGGTTGATTTTCGCTAAAAAATGGTCAACCAAGTTTTAAATAGTTTTAGACCCGAGCTTGATGGCAAACGAACCAACGATAAAAAATTATCGCCTATGCCCATGACTCGGGGGTGATTTTTGTAAGAAAATGACTTTTAGGCCGAGAAAATACACATTTTTAGTTTTTCGAGACAATGCGGGCATGCGAGCTTTCGAGTTCTCGGAAGTGTCGGTGTGAACGAGCGTGAAACAATCTATAGAGAAACTATAATTACTTGTTTGAGGTTTTAAGGACCTACATCATAGCCAAAGCAACAACCACGAGACTCATCGGCCTCGATTGTGCGCCGAGGTTGATTTTCGCCCAAAAATGACTAACCAAGTTTTGAGAAGTTTTAGACCCGGTTCGATGGCAAATGAACCAACGATAAAAACTTATCGCCTATGGCCATGACTTGGGGGTGATTTTGCAAGAAAATACACTTTTTTAGCTTTTCGAGGCAATGCGGGCATGCGAGCTTTCGAGTTCCTGCAAGTGTCGATGTGAACGAGCGTGAAACAATCCATAGAGAAACTATAATTACTAGTTTGAGGTTTTGAGGACCTACATCATAGCCAAAGTGACAACCACAGAGACTCATAGGCCTCGATTGTGCGCCGAGGTTGATTTTCGCCCAAAAATGACCGACCGGGTTTTGAGAAGTTTCGGACCTAGTTCGATGGCAAACGAACCAATGATAAAAACTTATTGCCTATGGCCATGACTTGGGGGTGATTTTTTCATGAAAGTAACTTTTAGGCCAAGAAAATACACTTTTTTAGCTTTTCGAGACAACGCGGGCATGTGAGGTTTCGAGTTCCCGGAATGGTCGGTGTGAACGAGCGTGAAACAATTTTTAGAGAAACCGTAATTACTAGTTTGAGGTTTTGAGGACCTACATCATATCCAAAGTGACAACCATAGAAACTCATCGGCTCGGACTTTGAGCCGAGGTTGATTTTCGCACAAAAAGGATCGACCAAGTTTTGAGTAGTTTTAGACCTAGTTCGATGGCAAACGAGCTAATGATAAAAACTCATCGTATTTGGCTTGACTCGGGGTTATTTTTGCAAAAAAAGGAATTTTAGGCCTAGAAAATACACTTTTTAAGTTTTTCGAGACAATGCGAGCATGCGAGCTTTCGAGTTCCTGTAAGTGTCGGTGTGAACGAGCGTGAAACAATCTATAGAGAAACTATAATTATTGGTTTGAGGTTTTGACTACCTACATCATAGCCAAAGCAACAACCACGGAGACTCATCGACCTCGACTGTGTGTTGAGGTTGATTTTCGCCTAAAAATGGTCGACCATCTTTTGAGCGAGTTATAGACCCGATTCGATGGCAAACGAACCAACGATAAAAACACATCGCCTATGGACATGACCCGGGGGTATTTTTGTAAAAAAATGACTTTTAGGTCGACCAAATACGCTTTTTCTAGTTTTTCGAAACAATGTTGGCATGTGAGCTTTCCGGTTCCTAGAAGGGTCGGTATGAACGAGCGTGAAACAATCTATAGAAAACTGTAATTTCTCGTTTGAGATTTTTAGGACCTACATCATAGCCAAAGTGACAACCACATAGACTCATCGGCCTCGACTATGAGTTGAGGATGATTTTAGCTAAAAAATGATCGACCAAGTTTTAAATAGTTTTAGACCCGGTTCGATGGCAAACGAGCCAACGATAAAAACTCATCACCTATGGCCATGAACTAAGGGTGATTTTTTCAAAAAAAAACAACTTTTAGGTCGAGAAAATACACATTTTTAGTTTTTTGAGACAATACGGGCATGCGAGCTTTCGAGTTCCTAGAAGAGTCGGTGTGAGCGAGCGTGAAACAATCTATAGAGAAACTACAATTACTGGTTTGAGGTTTTGAGGACCTACATAATAGCCAAAGTGACAACCACGGAGACTCATAGACCTCGATTGTGCGGCGAGGTTGATTTTCGCCAAAAATTGACCGACCAAGTTTTGAGCGAGTTTTAGACCCAGTTCGATGACAAACGAACCAACGATAAAAACTTATCAACTATTTCCATGACACAGGGGTGATTTTTGCAAGAAAATGGCTTTTAGGAAGAGAAAATACACTTTTTTAGCTTTTCGAGACAACGTGGGCATGCGAGCTTTCGAGTTCCTCGAAGGGTCGGTGTGAACGACCGTGAAACAATCTATAGAGAAACTGTCATCGCTGGTTTGAGGTTTTTGGGATCGACATCATAGCCAAAGTGACAACCATAGAGACTCATCGGCCTCGACTTTGAGCCGAGGTTGATTTTCGCAAAAAAATGGCCGTCAAGTTTTGAGTAGTTTTAGACTCGGTTCGATGGCAAACGAGCCAATGATAAAAACTCATCACATTTGGCCTTGACACAGGGGTATTTTTGCAAAAAAATGACTTTTAGGCCAAGAAAAT